TAAAGTATTTTTTAATGATGTCATAAACATGTGCAACTCGATTGTACTTACACTCCTGTAAAGCCCCGAAAGTGACTGACATACGCATCATCAAGCAGAAAAATAATATGTGATAGCACAATTACTAGTAAGTAGTATAAAACAGCCAGTATTAAACTGTTAACAACAAAAACTACACATTAAATAACAGTTATAAAACCCTTTAACTTTTAATCATTATTACATATTTAAAAACACTCACTCTGCTGTTGGCTTCCTCAAACATATCCCGTTTAAAAATAATATGTGATAGCACAATTACTAATAAGTAGTATAAAACAGCCAGTATTAAACTGTTAACAACAAAACTACACATTAAATAACAGTTATAAAACCCTTTAACTTTTAATTATTATTACATATTTAAAAACACTCACTCTGCTGTTGGCTTCCTCAAACATATCCCGTTCTACTTTACGAGCATATGCAACAAGATTGCCCATTCGTCTGTCCTGAAGGGCAGATGGATCAGGAGTTGGAAAGATTGTCTGTACTCTAAGAAAACATGCTTGAATTACTTAAAAGAACCAATGTAATATGGCTGTCTTGATAAAAGTTTCATTTTTACAGTTTCAAAAAACCATTTCAATTCAATTCTAAATCGTACTCAGACTATAAATTGTTTTAATAGAATACGACTTTAAAAAAAACTTCAGCATGGCACTATTACTGACCCAAAATTTTGAATTTTTATTTGAAGGCCTTGTTTTTAATGGCAAGTATAGAGCAGAAGAGTGTCCAAAGTCAACTGAAAGATAAAGATCTCAAATAAAAGGATACAAAATATAATTATATTTTTTTTTACTTATCTAAATTCTAACATCTTTAGAAGCTTCTGGGCATACTAGCAATCTAGACAGATAAAATAAATAAAAGTAAACCTACATTTTTTGTACCAGACAATCCCTCAAGTTAGAAGATACAGAGTGGTGCCAGATTTTGGTTCTTGAAGAAGGTTCTGCTGGAGAAGCATGTACTGCAGATGATATCTGGCTCAATATTTCACCAGACAGACCTACTGATGTAGGTGTTGACATCAGATTTCTTCCCATCAAGCTGATCTGAGAAGCATCACTTGTGCTGATGAACCCCTGAGACTGAGGCCCTTGGTTAGATGGTGCAACAGCATGAGGCTGCAGCTGACCCTGCCGAGTAGTGGGTGGCTGTTGTTGCTGCTGCTGGTTAGCTGACAAGGAGTTCATGTTCTGCATCTCACTAACCCCTACAACAATAACATGTTACAATCACCGACCCTTTACAACAATGACGTGTTACAGTCACCGACCCTTTACAACAATGACGTGTTACAGTCACCGACCCTTTACAACAATGGTGTATTACAGTCACCGTCCCTTTACAACAATGACGTGTTACAGTCACCGACCCTTTACAACAATGACGTGTTACAGTCACCGACCCTTTACAACAATGACGTGTTACAGTCACCGACCCTTTACAACAATGACGTGTTACAGTCACCGACCATTTACAACAATGACGTGTTACAGTCACCGACCCTTTACAACAATGGCGTGCTACAGTCACCGTCCCTTTACAACAATGACGTGCTACAGTCACCATCCCTTTACAACAATGGCGTGTTACAGTCACCGACCCTTTACAACAATGATGTGTTACAGTCACCGACCCTTACAACAATCACTAAACCTTACAACAATGACGTGCTACAGTCACCGACCCTTTACGACAATGATGTGTTACAGTCACCGTCCCTTTACAACAATGACGTGCTACAGTCACCGTCCCTTTACAACAATGACGTGCTACAATCACTAAACCTTACAACAATGACGTGTTACAGTCACCGACCCTTACAACAATGACGTGTTACAGTCACCGACCCTTACAACAATGACGTGTTACAGTCACCGACCCTTACAACAATGACGTGTTACAATCACTAAACCCTACAACAATAACTTATTACAAATTCAGCTTATATACATCCATACAACATATTTAAACATACACCTACAACTACTACAGAAGCACACACTATTAGAAATACATTATGTAAGTTACGTGTAACGTAACATGAATGCAAGTCACAACTAAAATTAAATAAAGGTATTTCACAAGACTCACCCTGTGTCTGGCTTAGTCCAAGTCTCTGTTGCATAATTTGTGAAGTTACATTATTGCTTCCTACTGCAGTGTAATGAAGGCCTAAAGCAGCATAAGCTCTCTGCATATCAGCTGGTGCGGGACCTTGATTTGCCTGGTTCTGCTGTACTGATGTTCCTGTACATTAATAAATAAGGAAGAAACTTTTAGTGTAAAAAAATTAGTAAACCAGAAGTAAGAGAGTTAGACTTACATCAAAATATGCTGGTTTCAGAACATTAAAAACGTTGGAATACGTACAATTAGTAACGACTTAAACATCACAGGAGTGGAACTCATTTAACAACACACATCTAATTCACAGACAACTATATTTAAAGTTTTAAGGGCACAAAATATATAAACTATACCAATTTTTATTTTTCTTCTATACATTGTTCAGTAGATTTGAACTTCGTACGGAATTTCTAAAATCAGTATGTGAAAATGTTTAGATAACAAGAGATTTCATGTTATACTTATTATTTTACAAGAGATTTCATGTTACATTTATTGTTTTATAAACATTATTTTCACTTGCAAATACAAAGAAGCACTAAGTAAAGACAGCATACAACTATTGGCAGCATAGGCGATCATTACATGGCTGCAATTCTGTAGTGGGAAAACAAATTAGACAACAATTTTGTATTATCAAATTACTGATTATGATAAAAAAAAAACTATAAATTATGCATTGTTTATGCAGAAAAATACAAAATTGTGCAACCTTTACCAACAGTAAAAAACTTCAAAACTGTAACAATTATGGTCAGCTCAAATTATGATCACTGACTAACGTTACATCAATGTATTTAGTATTTATTACACGTTGTTTTATAATAACTATGTTCGGCATCAAATTCCTCTAATTATTCTAACTTAAATCAGGACTTCCAACAAAAACGTTAGATCAATAACAAGGACAAAAGATCACTGTTCTATTAACAATTATACTAAGTTGGTAACCTAGCATCAACTAAGCAACTCTGTTGAAAAAAATGCTTAAAAGTTATGATTCAATGATCAAATAACTAAACTTTAACTACCTTTATAACTATTAAATCAACTTTCCATAAACTCATTTAAATTGTTTAGTTATGTGCTTATCAATGAAATACATTTTTTAAACCCAAACTCATGTGCTTATCAATGAAATACATTTTTTTAAAACCCACACTCATGTGCTTATCAATGAAATAAATTTTTTTTAACCCACACTCACCAGCCAACTGCTGCTGTTTCCTGTCTGCTTGTTTTAAGGGTAAACAAACGGGACAATCGTTTCTTGTACAGTTCTTCCAATGAGAAATAATTTGTCGCGATGAAGCACAGTGATTCACTTGGCAGGACTTTCCAGCCTGACAGGTGGTCATGTGATTCAAAACATTTTTCATAGTTCTACAATGAGGAAGAGAGCACTGACGAACTTCTCCGTTGGCTTGATTTTCACGTCTTTGGCATTTGTGTGCATGAAGCAGTAATACCAACTGTTGTTGGATCAACCTCCGTTTTTCAGAATCTGCTGTTGCAGGATTTCCTCCACCTTGCGGAGCCGTGTTCCCTGAACCTAAATTAGGCGTACTAGAAGGGTTTTGCGGAGGTTGTGGTCCCTGCGTAACAGTCTGAGGTGTAGACATGTTATGATTACTAATTGGCTGCTGGTTTAGGTGCTGGTGAAACAAAAAACTTCATCAATTCATTACGTTTAAATAGCCATCTCTTGTATCTTAACACAAAATATCTAGAAATATGTAACCTAGCAACTGCTCCGATAGCCAGTTTGGCTTTTACATACTGAAATATTACGAAAGAATTAATAAAATCGTAATTCAAACATGTCAATCACGATGATTAACCGAGCTTCATATCACAAACAATTAGACTGTAACTTCAATCTTTATTAGCTTTCACCAGCTCAAATTAATCATGTAGTGTTTACTAAAGCATTAGGTGAAGAAACGAATTTGTACCAATGTTTTAATGTTAGAAGTCTTTCAGAGTTTCACCTAGAAATTCAATTTAAAACATCATTGAAATATTGTGAATTTGCCTTTGAGAAAACATTCTATTAATAAATAAATATTGTGAATGACAGAAAATACCAATATACAATGTCATTTAACAAACTTGGACTTTGTGTTTATATTTTACTTTTTAAACAGAGGTAAGTAGTTTACATTCATATCAATATGTTAAGCAAACAATGCTTCTACTATAAGTACAAGCTAAGCCTACAATAGTTTCATCAAAACTGCTAAAAAATCCCTAAAGATCCATTCAACAGGAAATCTCAATTTTACTAATGGATTTATGGATATTAAACAAAAGGTTTACCTTGAAAACAAACTCTCTAACATGATGAATATAATGCACCTTTGATTTTGAGTTTTGTAATTATATACCACCATTTATTAGTCAAGCTTTTTCAAATGTTCAGTGAAATTCAACAGAAATATGAGACTTGCTGGTAAAAAATTATTCAACCTAAGTATTGTCTATCATATGACTACAGTGTGTCTATTTTATAGAATATTCCCTTTGAAAATGTGTTGTTTTTTTGCTTACACTTTCTAAAGGTGCATTCCCAGGCAACTGGAAACGTGGACCCATGTTAATTCCCGCTGTTGTGTTAAGTAGCCGAGGAGCTCCAGATAAGACTGAAGTTACAGAGGTAGACAAACCAGGAGACTGAGTTCTAGATACAGGCATGTTGTTTCCAGACACGGTCATCTGTCTCATGGGACTTATTCCTGGACCCTGTTGTCAACATTAAAAAAACATTATGTTCAATATTCTACTTGCATTAGTCTGTCTTAAAAAAACATTATGTTCAATATTCTACTTGCATTAGTCTGTCTTAAAAAAACATTATGTTCAATATTCTACTTGCATTAGTCTTTTTTTTTGTTATTAAAAATGGTCCATTGTTCATCGATTTATATAGGTTAAAAATAATTTGATAGTAGTATAAGACAAGACTATTACAACTGACGACCTCCAGCATCTGTGTGGGAGGTGATCCTGGAAGAATGTAGGACTATTACAATTGACTACCTCCAGCATCTGGTAGCTGAAGAAAGCCTATAGTTTTTACAGTAAATACAAGATAAACATGTCAAGAATAAATACAAACTTATTTCGGGAAACTTGTCCTGGTGTAAATGATTCTCACTACATTCATATATGTTGATGTATTCAGACTTTCACAGTTGCTGATTCGTGTACTCGTCTTTTCTCATCTTTTATAAAATTGTCAAAATTTAATCTGATTTAGGTTATGTGATGTTAAAAAAAGAAACTTACAAACATTGGAGGTGACCCTGGAAGAATGTCCAACACAGATGCTGGAGGTCATCAGTTGTAATAGTCCTACATTCTTCCAGGGTCACCTCCCACACAGATGCTGGAGGTCATCAGTTGTAATACTCCTACATTCTTCCATGATCACCTCCCACAGCCAATGTCAGTGATGACAGTCATCTTTTTTTGCACTCTAACCTTCACACTATGCCAGATATTCCATCAGATCCATGACTGGGGTTCGGAGACAGTCACACGAACAGCTGAATGTTAAATAAACCCTATGTGCTTTAAATCACTATCCTGCTAGTTAAATAAACCCTATCCCAATATTTCCTTAATACAAGTGCAGTGTGCTTTAAATCACTATCCTGCTAGTTAAATAAACCCTCTACCAATACTCCCTTAACACAAGTGTAAGTGTGCTTTAAACCACTATCCTGCTAGTTAAATAAACCCTCTACCAATACTTCCTTAACACAAGTGCAGTGTGCTTTAAACCACTATCTTGCTAGTTAAATAAACCCTATCCCAATATTTCCTTAACACAAGTGCAGTGTGCTTTAAACCACTATCCTGCTAGTTAAATAAACCCTCTACCAATACTTCCTTAACACAAGTGCAGTGTGCTTTAAACCACTATCCTGCTAGTTAAATAAACCCTCTACCAATATTTCCTTAACACAAATGCAGTGTGCTTTATGTACATAATAAAGTATATTATGTCTATTATGAACTGTGATTTATGTACATTATAAAGTAAATTGAGTTTATTATGAACTACATTTTTTTACAAAACATGTGCACCCATTCTGAGTTATATATTAGCTTTGTAGAAAATTTGAAGTGGGTTAATCATCACACTTTTAGAGGGTAGTGTACACTTTAAATCTTTTAGACAGATGATAAGAATACACACATCTCACTAAAGGTGTGATTTTATGAGATCATACAGACCTGGACAATTTGATTTGGTGAAATTGTTCCACCTCTCTGACAAGGAACACGCTCTGTTTGTTCGGTCAAACAGTCCAGTCTGCTTGACAAACAGTTTCAAACTGTTCCTTCACAGCAACACCCTGTGTGGTACTGTAGATTCTCCACCTTCTAATATTATAAATGACAAACTGTCCCTTCACGGCAACACCCTTCCTGTGTGGTACAGCAGATTCTCCACCTTCTAATATTATAAATGACAAACTGTCCCTTCACGGCAACACCCTGTGTGGTACTGCAGATTCTCCACCTTCTAATATTATAAATGACAAACTGTCCCTTCACGGCAACACCCTGTGTGGTACTGCAGATTCTTCACCTTCTAATATTATAAATGACAAACTGTCCCTTCACAGCAACACCCTGTGTGGTACTGCAGATTCTTCACCTTCTAATATTATAAATGACAAACTGTCCCTTCACAGCAACACCCTGTGTGGTACAGCAGATTCTCCACCTTCTAATATTATAAATGACAAACTCCTTCACGGCAACACCCTGTGTGGTACTGCGGATTCTTCACCTTCTAATATTATAAATGACAAACTGTCCCTTCACGGCAACACCCTGTGTGGTACTGCAGATTCTTCACCTTCTAATATTATAAATGACAAACTGTCCCTTCACAGCAACACCCTGTGTGTTACTGAAGTTTCTTCACCTTCTAATATTATAAATGACAAACTGTCCCTTCACAGCAACACCCTGTGTGTTACTGAAGTTTC